TGTTTGTAATTAGTTATAATATATTATATTATTAGAGATTTGTTTCAATTATATTTTAAAATATTATAATTGATTAATTATCAAGATATCTGTTTTGATCATTTTACATTTTTATCAAGTTATCAGCTAGGTTTGTTAAATTAATTTATTCATCAACTAGCTTATCAGCAAACAGTTAACTTATGAGCTAACAGCTAGCTTATCAGCTAGTTTCCCAAACATAGCCTAAAAAAATGAAGTTCCAAAATACTGAGATATATATTTAGAGGTCAATAAAGTAAGCCTTCTAAAAATATATATTAATATTTTATTCAGCTTTTCTAATTATACATATAGATTAACAGTTTAATAAATAAATAAAATAATACAATAATAAATACATATATTATTTTATTATTACAAATGTTTTTAATAAGGCACCCATCATTTTTAATGTTTTTTTAGTGGTTGGGTTGGAGATGCACTCAGCTCAACTGACAATAAAGTTCGAGAACTGAAACTTTGGGGGTCCCTCCTCATAGATCATCCGTTCAAGTCCTTTCAAAGCCATTGGGATTCTTCTAGCTGTGTCCTCAAGGCCTTGGTTTAATCGAGATGCAGACAAACTGACCTAAACAACCATGGTAAACAAAAAAAATATTTCCTCCGTCACAAAATAAATGTCTACAACGAAATAATACACATAAGTTGTTTATCCGAACACTCAAAAGTGCTTATTATCGGTGTCACACCGGAATAAGTCAATAAGTTGTTTCTATAAGCAATCCCAAACACCCCTTTAATATAAAAAATCCTCAAAATCTTTATTTTAAAGAATCTATTGAAGATGTTATAACCGGTTTTCTTTTAATGAATTTGACCCAATAATTATGCCAGCGGTGCAAGCGAGGGCCAATTAGTGTAGTGGTGACCAAGCCATTTTGTCAAGTGTCGTAATCGTGGATTGTTTGCGCGTGAACATCTGGTTCAAGTAGGTCGGACGCAGACCCACGAGTCTGTATCCAGCTGTGCCGTCAAGGTGGGTCATGGTTGCACCCACATGGTTAAACTGGTCACCTAATTTTAATATGAAAAAGCCGAAATGGTTCGTTTGTTTGACCATTAACCAGCTGCCACATAAGCATGACCTCCATTTTTCTTCTTTTATATCCGAAATCTATATCTATACTACCTTCAAAAGTTTAAAAAACATTTTTAATGTACAAAGTACTATATATTTATACAAAAAATCTTAAAAATCTTAAAAATAACTTATAATGCATTAAGTACTACTACTTTATGCGTTCAGTCATAAAATCTATTAATCTACGATTAAAATAACATATAGTACAAGTTACCAATACACATTATTACCTTTTCTTTTCATGTTCTCAAGATACTTTTGACACTCATGCATTCACCCTCTCATACCTCTATGTCTTCTCCTCACCCCCTCCCCCTCTCCCCTCCCCCCTCCCCTAAGGTGAGTCTCACACTGATATTCACTATGAGTTATTAAAAGTTCTCTCATTCATCTCTCATTCAATTGCTCTAGAACTATCGGTCTCGGTCTCTTGATTCTTTGCTCTTTGTATAAATCGAACACATTTGTGCAGTCGTTTAAATATGTTGGATTTTGAATATATTGGTTTGAGTTTTGCTCCAAAGGTCAAAAGTATCAAGAGGTCACATGTTCAAATCCAAAGAGAAATAAAAATCTCATTTATGGCCACGGAAGTTCAAATGTGGTGACTTTGAACTATCTGCAGGTGGTCGCCCTGGGATTAATCAGCTCGCATGGCGAGTTGGATATCCAAGTTAATAAAAAAAACTGTCATACATTTTTTTTTCATCGATAAACTGTAATTGAAATCATAACTCTTATTTATTCAAATTGTATTAATATATAAAGATCAAGTGTAACTTATATTATCGTAAGCTTCAAAATCGTTAAAATTCACATCTCCCGCCACATTGCACGGATACAATACTAGTCAATTACTAAAAATGTAATTCAATTATTTATATAATTTTTTTATAAATTATTTATAAATAATAAAATCCAATCCGATTCAAATCCTACGAACCAAACATACTGATGATCCAAATTCATTCCGATCCAAATCCCTCCAGATCCAAATCCCTAAAAACAAACCTACAAACCGAACCGACCCTTAGACCTTCCTTTGGTATGCTCGTGATTAAAAAAAAGTCGGCTCCCTTAAAAACTTCGAAAATACACCAGAATATCATTTTACAAAACGAGCTTCTCAAAAAGGTCATCGAGCCGACTCGTCAAATACGACCATATTTCGACACCGGAAAAGAGCATAACTCGAATAAAAACGGAAAACGACATGCACCAAAGGTTAATCCTAGATCAATACGACTACAGTTACAAATCCATCAAATCCGATTCCTAGATTACAGCTTCTACAATTCAAGTCAGAAACCACTTAAACTACGAAAGCATCATACAACGATACCAGATTCCACATAATGAACGGTCTTCAATAGCCACGAGCTCGGTTTTGGGTTGTCAATTGCGGAGCATGTTCATGGTGGAGTTTGGCCACCCCATATTGGAGTACATCGGCATGGGTGGTGGTTGTTGGTTTGCATTGTTGTAGGAACCAGGGGCCCGATGAAGCGGACTGCTACCGCTATCGTCAGATGACTCGCTTGAAGGTCCTTCGGACGGTGGAGTGGTTCCAGGCACAGACCCGCCGCCGCCAAAGTTCAACATGTTTGCAGGGGTGGCCGACGGTGGGGGGTTGCTAGATTTTGGTTTTTTGGCATCTGCAATGAAGCTGCCGACAACCACCTACCGGAGAGAGATCGAGATTATTTTATTATTGCTCATATTGATTGAATCACAATTGTTTATAGTTAGAGAGACAGAGAGAGACCTGTACGGGTGTGGCGGCAACTAACGATCCAGCGACTCCACCGCCCAAAACCCGACCATCAGAACCTGCAAGGGAAACACTCAGTCCACTTGATCTGCTGCTGTGGTTACCGTTACTGTCTGCGAGCAGGAAGGAACCCGATAAAGATATTATCTCGAACCGGCCCTGAAAACAACATTGTCAACCGAGTAAGATTTCTCATCAATTCAAGCAAAAGAAAACCCGATTCAAGTAGAAACTCTTGGGAGTGGAGAGTTGCCGGATGCAAAGCAACTTGCATGCTCGTTTGAGTGGGTTAAAGCCCGAGGTTTTCACGGAAACGACCACTATACCATTTTGGCTAGATGCCGAGTCTGCATATATCTTAACCCCTAGAGCCCACCTTCGGATGGGACATAGCGGGCTCATTTGGTTTATTAAAAGTTTAACATTATTATAAAGGGTAAAATTGTCATTCAGTTGATTAAAAGGTATAATAATCATACATTTCTAAAACTGTACGCTTTTTCATCATGGACATTTATTTTGGGCAGGAGTATAATAACCTTAGAACGAGGTTTTAATAAAAGGTGCGAACCTCATATGTTACAGTGCCGCCAGACATTGCTGGCTGACGAAGAGTTACGTTGCTGATGGCGCCATTTGCCGATAGAATACAAACAGTACGAGGTCCTTGCTGCGAGAAAGCCGTGATCTTCGAGGCTATATCCTATCAGCATAAAAAGAGTTCAGATTATAAACCGACGCCCCCAAACCACACATCCACAATCGCAAATGCTCAAAACGTAAGCCAAAAAAAACAAACAGATACGTAATATATAGTCTTCATGAATAAAAATATTGACATTGTTGCAGAATGAGTAGGAGGTCTGGGATCCGACACCGGGTACCACCAACCAACCAACCACACCGGGATACGCAATATACGCAAAAGGCAAACAAATAAAACCTAATACAACTTGGGTTGGGTTCCAGTGAGAATGGAAGGGTGAGATTAGAAGTGATCAAGGGTCCAGATCATGTCTTACGCTTCTCACCTTAACTCCTATTCTCACACGATCCTTCATCATCCAACTCATCTTCTAACATAGACGATGAATGGATTATACTAAAATCCCCGCATAAAAAGTGAGTGTGTTTTTGGTGGTATTAACCACAATTAAGAAGCACAATCATTCCAAGGTGATATGACTATATGCTCTACTACAACATGATCATGAGTTCTTTGTAATCACAAAAGTACCTTAATGGAATGAAACTCACCTACCAAGGTCACTCAAAAGGCATGTTATCGTTTTCAAAGTGGAAGGCTACATAAAAACCATAAAACTAATCTAAAAGAAACAACTTCCATTGTTTACAACATGGTGCATGTTATTCACCGTTGACACTGCATTGGTAGCGTAGTTGAGGGTAAAAGGGAACTAGAGACCCTAAAAGTCGGGGGTGACATTGGAGACACAAGGATTATTGCATTGGTCGTTCCAAGACCGAGTACCCATGTGCAACTTCGGCCGGAACGTATGGAAGACAAGGAGGTATAAATCAACATTGGGAATCAAAGGATACCCCAACCAAACAAGTCCAAGAATCTAGGTTCCATGATTCAGAAGATGAGGTCGAGGATCATATAACTTGGAAGATAAGGGCAGGGTGGTTAAAGCAGAGAGTTGTCATTGGAATGATATGCGACAAGAAAATCCCGCTAAAACTGAAAGCAAATTCTACAGGGTAGCCATCAAACCGATCATGCTTTATGTTGTATGTGTTTTGAGAGTGAGGCAACAATGAATCCGTGTGAAAGAAAGTTGGAAGTTGTAGAAGTGAGGATGCTCAGGTGGACTTATGGTAAGACCATGTTAGATTGGATACCAAATGAGGTTATTCGGGAACCGTTAGGGAGGAAGTTTGTAGTAGTTTGCACACATATGTAACTGAGAAGGATAGAAAGTATGAAGGTTGACCGGTGAAGAGGAAGGGGCATGCCAAGGAGAACATGGGAGGAGCAGTTGAGGAGGGACATGCATGGCCAGCTTCGGCATTTTTTAGGATGTAACCTATGAAAGAAATGTTTAGAGGCTAGGGATCAAGGTAACGAACTATGTTAGCCTGGGAGATACCTAACATGGTAGACGGTGAGCATGAGAGGGTGCAGAGGTGGCACTTAGGTTACTAGAGCCTTTTGTTAGATAGAGAGTTGTTTCAATTTTTCTTGCTTTTACCGTGTATTTATGCTAGTCATAGTTTTTCCTCCTTAGATTCTCTGTCGTTCTTCGTTTTTCTTCATGTTATAGTAGTCGTCAGTACCACGATCTATAATTCCCTAGTTAGTTCACTATACATGGTTGTTGTTTGCACACACTAACACACTCCTATGTCACCATGCTACTTCTCTCACATGTTTGCTTTTATTTTGTTTTGCAAGCAGAGGGTCTTCACAAAATTAACATCTCCATCCTTTGGGGTAGAGTTGAGGCATGTATATATTCTACCTCGCCCCCCTACATGTGTACATTGGGTTCGCTTCATTTGGTTTTTAATAAACATATGAACCTTTTTCATCATTGCGAGCGTCTATAATCTTTTCCAACAATTATGTCATAAGCCAACTCAATAAGTTCTTTCTTTTTGATGTTCCCATGTCAGGAATGTAAGATACGTACCAGTGTATGTACAAGAACAAACATATATAGGAGTTCATATTGATATCTTTTGAATTATCTGCGTGAATTACTTACTATAGATGGTTTGTAGCAGTAGCACATGTAACAAACATAACGATCCTCCAACACTAATGGCAAAGCTTCTCCAACTACGAAACTCGTCAATATGAGTGGCCTTATTTGGAGCTAATTCAAATACAATCTTACTTGATCCAACTTCTAAACCATTGCATTCTATGTAATCTTGGAATTCTAGAAAGTTCTCTTTTAAGCAACTTAAATATATCTTTGAAGGAGCTATTGTATTTACAAACATATTTCTAAAACCTATTTATCCCTTGACAACAAACGTTTTTATATTAAATTGATACTAAAATTGCATGAACGTATCTTTAAGTCCTTACAAGTTGTTCATTGTTTATTTAGGCAAAACCAACGACATATCGTTCTTCAAAATCTTGTAGTTATTCATTAATGCATGAATACAATAGGCAAAACATAAATCACGCATAAAGACCATAAACATGAGTCAGATTATTTATTTATCTACAAACACACACACAATATAATATTTACAAATATATATATATATATATGTGTGTGTGTGTGTGTGTATAGGGTTGGGTTCCCGTAAGAATGGAAGTTGTGGTGAGAAGGGTGAGAAGAGATCTCCACCCTTGGCTCAATCCTAATTGAAGATCAACACTAATGTGGTGCACCGAGATGCACTGGATCAATTCCTATGATAAACACAATTCATGGGGTGGGGGTGAGATTAAAAGTGATAGATCCCTCCTTATATTTCTTACCTTAGCTCTTATTCTCACACGATCCTTCATCTATATACAGATCTCTTATTACGCTTCTCATCTTAACTCTTATTCTCATACGATCCTTCGTCTATATAAAAATCCCTTCTTACACTTCTCACCTTAACTCTTATTCTCACACAATCCTTCGTCTATATATGTATGTATAGAAGCACATAAAACAAAAGAAACTTTCATCTTCATGGTTTGCACTTAAGATGTTTTAAGTTAGAAATGACTCCTAATTTTGGAAAGACACAAATATATAAGATAGAGAAAATGGTATAGCACAATAATGTGTGTTACTTTGTTAATATACTATGTGCAACATGCCAGAACACATTTATATATGGAAGACATGCATGAGAGACAGAGAGTGATAAAGTATCGCTCGTAAAAAAAGGAAACAATTGGCTCTGCAGAGGGAAAATAATGCATTGTGTAACCTCATCTCTCCGTCTCTTGCATCTATATCTATAAATTGTTTCAAAATTTTAACCCAACTCTTGCGTCTCCCATTGTTGCAGTCTTTAACACAAAGTACCAACATTTCCTTTCCCATGTTCCCCATTGTTGCAAATGACATTTTAGGATATGATGAAAACCCACCGTGTGCATATAACCCACCACACCGACATAAGAATTCACACGGGGATGACATGTTTCATGGATATGCATCAAAGTCAACATAAAAAAGGATGCATCTATAGGTTTGATCTCACTTTCAACCCTAGGTAAATATTGAACATAAAATCCATACCATAAATACCAACATATAACATGCAACCCCTAAAATTCAAATTGGAAAATGAGAAAAGCAAACAATTGTCATCCACTAGTTAAAGACGAAGCATTAAGAACACATCTAGTCAAAGCAAGGTTTCTATTGTTTTAACATCTAATTCAATTATCTTTACATAGCGAGTCACGAGCATCAAAACGTCTTATACAACTTACTTAATTTTATGTTGAGAGGCGGTAATTAAGGTCGTGTGGAAGCCTCAATAACCATGTCATAAACAAGGCTAGAGCCAAGCTCAGCCACGAGCCCATCAAATCATGGTCTTGTTATAGTAAGGATATAAATGCAGAATGCAACTCTCAGACATTGATCCATAAAGTCGTGTTGGCTTATCGATACTGATAGAGTAATATCATAACATACTCATCCACAAGTTGGGGCACAGTGATAGAATCATTCTAATTCGTTAATCAGTTTTTCTATTACGCGAACTTAGGACACATAATAAAGATCAATCTACATGGATATATTTAGTGACTCCTTCCCCTCTCTCTCTTAACTGATAAGATTCCAAATCTCACATATCTTAATTAATGATCCTTCTCTTGTTAACACACCCTTCTAGACCTAATTATTTCGTATTCTTCTTTTTGGTTTAGTTTTCTTTACGAACACAAAATGCACACATAAACACACGAGCATAGAAAGAGTTCCATCAATCAAAGTGGAAAAAAAATGCGTTATTCCAAGAAAGAAAAAAAGCTTGGTGAGATATTGTTGGGAGCAAAATCATACGAGATTGTTATAGTACTTTAAAGATAAAATATGATTCATATCTCCAGAATTTTTGATCGCCTTCTTTCTTTCTTTCTTAGAAAAGCTTCTTGAAGCACCACTTATGTGCCCTATTTTGACGCATAATATAAAACCGTTCATTAATATACAAGATTTATCGAAATGCATGTAAGATGATCACAATAACTTGCAAGAACTACGAGCTCAATTAATGTGCGACAACACCAACTAGACGCTTACAACATTATTTATGATAAAAGTAATGATTCAGTTTGTGCGAATTGTTCTTGTAGATCTCTTTGCATGTGTTTTTCGTTCATTTACAGGAAAAATGAGGAAACTTTTCCTTAACGTTGATGCAACGTTTTTAAGAACTTGTTCCTCTGCTTACAAATAAAAAAGAACTTTCATATTATACAAACAAAAGATTTATTGAACTCAAATAAAGACATCAATCATATGGGAAAGTTCATTGATTAAGCACTTACTAAAGCCCCCTATTTTAAAGAAATTATGATGTAGTTCTTAAATCCAAAAACATTTATTAAACACCTCCCTTTTTATGGAAACTATAATGTAGTTCTTAAATTTAAAAACATTTATTAAACCACCCTTTTTTTATGGTAATTATAATGTAGTTCTTAAACCAAAAGACATTTATTAAAGCTCCCTAATTATTAGGATATTATAATGCAATTGTTAAATGGAGAAAAATTAGAAACAATCATCAAACATAGATCTCCGTTTTCAAGAGCATACGTAAAAGTTGAGAGCAATACCTCTCCTGCTTTAACTGTGATGACATGAGGCGTAAAACCAACACCCGGTGCACCTGTAAGATCAAATAAGATAGTTAACAAGATACGGATTCGGTAACACATAAAACGAAATGACAAAAACATCCTAAACGAAAACAAGTGATTGCTACTCAACAAGAATCATAATTCAAAACACCAATAATGAGACCTAAATAAAACTATCATATTTGAATAAGAATTGAACAAAACCGGTAAGAGTTAACAAAACGATTGCCCTAATAAGCCAAATTAACAACTAATTCACATGTGAATACAAATAAAGATCACAAAAACTAAGATAATAGCTTCTATAGGCCCCAACCCCTCAATTTAAATGCTAAAAATCAAGATCCTATCCTCATCAAGATTTTTTTTTTTATAGATTGACATCATTCCTAAGGTTCATTCCAACTCCGGTATCATGGCTTTCCCTGTAAATTACGCAGCCCAAGATCCAACCCTTTTCACGAAAGATGCAAGATTTAGCACAAAAATGCAACAAGAATCATCTAATCAACATGAAATTTAACAAAAAAGAGTAAAATTTTAAAGAACGGTTATAACAACAAACACCCAAATTTTTCACCTAAAGCATCCAACTGTTTCTTCCCTGAACCCGGTGGTCTCCCTCTGTGTTTCTTGGCAGATGAATCGGTGTTTGGGGTTCCACCACCGGCGCTACCACCATCATTTGAAGTCTCCAGATGCCCAGCGCCGGCACCGGCACCGGCGCTAGACCCAGTTGTTACAGGAGCAGGAGCCAAACCAAGCGCAATGTTGCCGTCAGGCGACGGCGAATACTTCCTCGGCCGTCCTCTCTTCTTCCTCGCCGGCTCAATGTTAAACCCACCGGACCTAAACCCCCCAGGAGGCGACGATCCGTCGCCGAACTGGTCAGAAGCATCAAAAGGGAAACGTTGTTGCATCGAATCGTGAGTTATCATACTGTTGTTGTTCGCCGGGGCAGCAGTGTTGGAGTTGTTAGGTAGGTGGTGGTGGTGGGTGTTGTATGAGTTTGGTGGCATCATCATCCCCAGCGGCAGCTGCTGTTGGTGGTGGGTCTGGTGGCGTTGTAGCGACGGCGGTGGTGCTAAAGATTCTCTCGAGTCCATTTTCTTCCACAGGATCAAGCAGAAGCTTTTGTGGGTTTTTCGTTCTTGATCTTGAAATGCAGGTGGATCCTTTTTCGTCTGCTCGAAACCTAAAAAAACGATTTAGGGGTTTGAAGAAGGGGAGGAAATTAGGGTTTTAAAGAACAGATTTTTTTGATTTTGCTGCCGCCGTATAAACACGAAACGGTGATTACATCTACTACTACCAAGTTGGGTATTGTTGTAAAGGTATGCAGAGGTTTTGACACCTGGTGTGGTGATCATGGTCAAATCTGCTTACACATTTCGTCGGCAATTTTGAATCTTCATCTAAATCTATGCACTCTTTTTGACTATTAAAAAAATCAATTTAAATCTTTGATTTAAATATATTTCATTTAAAACAAAAAAAAAAACTTATTATTATTCTTGTGAGAATACTAGAAGAGTACTCGCGCAATGCAGCGAGATACATCGTGTTTTTAATATTTCATTTTATTTGTTTTTATTTTTGAATAAAATATATGTTTGACGATATCATAAAAAATTGACAAAAATATATCGATATTAGTATCAAATTAACTATTTGAAATTCATCATTTTTTTGTGTAATTTTTTAATCCAATTTTTTTATAATTTAATTTATGTACAATAACGAAGTAATTTATATTTGGTTTAATAATATAATTTTTTATAAAGATAATAATTATTTATTTTGTTGGAACTTGATAATTATTCTAATTATATTTTAGATTTTTTATATTTTAAAATGAGATGTTCATCCTCTATTTGATTATGTTTGTCCGCAATTATTTATACGAATTCAAACATCGAGCTTTAATAAGTTGTACTTATGCATAATTACTTGTA